TGCCCGCTTTGATTTGGTTAACAAATAATAAACTCCTAATATAGGGTAAAGCCATTACTAGGTATAATTCTAAAGTTCTGATAAATAAGAGCCAGTATGATACCATTAAAACCATGACATTGATTTGGGCAGGTAAGATTAAGCGCTGAGGAAAATCCCCAGGGAGAATTCAAGTCTAGTCAAGGGCTCTCTGTTCAATAACTCGTTTTTCTGACAGTTCTCTTGCAGCTTCAAAACACAAGGGCTACTTAGAGCATAAAACGAACTGACATTTTTAACTACAAAGACTCGTATCCAGGACTTCTCTGTTGCATAACCCAACACAGAACTGGCAAGAGTGATGTGTTACCACACACGAAAAGTGTTTGAAAAATGAAGCATCTATGTGTTTTAAAAACCTGTATTACAGATCAAACTAAACAGAAGAGCAGAGCCTCAGTGCCGGACGCTGTCTGCCATACACACACACACACACACACACACACACACACACACACACACACACACCTCGGTAGCACAGTACGAAAGTCCTTCAGACAAGGACCAGAACCGAAAAGCAGTCCTATGGCTCTTCTGCTTTTCCTTCCTGAAACCTACATTTCACTATGAATTACTGTTTGTTATTTTAAACTGCATTAGACTGTGATGCTCTTGAGAGTAATCGCAATGTTTATTCGGCTTTCAACCCCTTTCCACTCCCAGCACAGAGACTTACACATGAAGATCAGGTAAGTGTTGGCGGCACTGAACTAAAACAACTCACACCTGAAAACCAGGATGCCGAAGGCAGTCACAGATCCCCAGAGGCCTTCTTTATAGTCTAAACTTCACACTCGCTGGGTAGAATGGCTCGCACAACTGTCAGTATTTGCTCACTCCTTCTCTGAAAGGCATCAATCAAACATGCAGTACTCTCCACTTCCCTGAATGGCAACGAGACCCAACAGAGGTGATGGGTTCCGCACGGCCTCCATCCTAACCTCACCTGCCCCAGGGAACCAAACCTCTTTCCTCTGATCCCACCATAAGACCAGCTGCCGCACTGTGAAGATCTCTCTCTGTCTCTCTGTCTCTCTCCCCCCACCCCCCCACCTTTGGGTCACACCTGGTGATGCTCAGGGGCTCCTCCTGGCTCTGCACTCAGGACTCACTCCTGGCAGTGCTCGGGGTACCATAGAGGATGCAGAGGATCGAACCTGCATCAGCTGCATGCAAGGCAAATGCCCCCCTCCCCGCCCCCCCCGGCCCCCGTACTACCACTCCGGCCCATGAGATGCGGCTCTTAGACTGGGAAGATAAAGACGCTGGAACAGACCTTCTTGTAAAAGTTCCTTCCTTCGACCTTTCTGGCACTTCGCTCTTCCCTGGTAAGAGCCACGCTCTGCAGGTGGGAGGAGGGCGAGCTCCCTTCACCCCCAGACCTGCCCCCTGCTCTGGGAGCTGCTGGTCCCACTCTCGGGGGTCCCTGGCACCACAGCCATATGTCATCTCCAGCGTGGGACTAAGTGTGTTCCTGGCACTCAGGACGACCCCTGGGAAGAGCAGCCACGCGGAGCAGGAAGAGGGGAACTGCAGATAAGTAAAAGATGTTGGCTCCGTCTCTGCTCCCCACAATCCTCACATGGCAAAGCCCACAGAGCCGCAGAAGCTGCCGGGTTCCCTGGCCATAGGCGCCGGCTCCACGGGGGTGGTCGGTTCCGCACAGGCCCACCTGCGGGGACCTCAGAAGCTGCTACCTCAAGGGGCCCCACACCCTCACGCTGGGCCCAGCCGATGGTGCTCTCCATAACGGCGACATCCCCCAGTGCCTCGGACAGGTGCTACACTTTCCGTGTGGCGTCACGAGATTCATGCCATCCTTCCTTTCCTGCCCTACAGGCCCCAGCTGGGAACTGCACAGAATACAGAGCAGGGAACGACGGGCCCTGGGCCCAGCACATGTCACCACCAAGGCTCCGGTCAGCATCGTGGCGAATAGCCTGAAAGACAGAGGCCCACAGAAATCACCTGAAGCCCGAACACCGTCTCCTCGACAATAACGTGGGCCCTTCACGAGGCATGTTCTGACGTGCATCAGGGAGGGCAATGCCCACGTCCTGACTGATTTACTAGGGGATGGAAAACTACAGGACCACCTTATTTAGATCAAGTCCTCAGAAGTGGACAGAGAATGAGCATTATTCACTGGGCATCCCAGCATGAATAACCTGCTCTACTCTATCAAGGCTTTGTCTCGACTCAACAATGGCTTGATGTCAGACTCCCGAAACCTAAATCCAGCTGTTTCTCTAGACCTGGAGAAGATGCAGTGAAAGTTTGTTATAAAACTGAGTTCAAATTTTGCCTCGTTAGTCTTATGGGGGGAATCCCCCTGCCAGGCTGCAGTATAACTTACAACTGTCTACAGGAGAAGAAGTCAATTCTATGTTATTTCTAACATCAAAAAGGACCTGCCAAGTTCCCCCAACCTACACATCGTACTCAGATGTGATGGTCAGGGCAAGGCTGGTGCTTTCAGTGACCTTTATTTATTTATTTATTTATTTTTTGGGTCACACCCAGCGATGCACAGGGGTTACTCTTGGCTCTGTACTCAGGAATTACTCCTGGTGGTGCTCAGGGGACCATATGGGATGCTGGGACTTGAACCCGGGTCAGCTGCGTGCAAGGCAAACGCCCTACCCGCTGTGTTATTGCTCCCAGCCCCAGCTTCCAGTGACCTTTAAACACTGATTTTTTTTTTTGGTACAGGGAATTATACATCACTGGTCAATTATAAAATCACCCATTTTTTCTCACAGCCCAATTATTTCTCAAAATTTTCCAGTAAGAATTCATTGCAACTCTTCTTTTCCTTTTTGTTTTGAACCAAAGGAATCAAACCAACAGCTTCATACTCGTAAGGAAAGAGTTCCACCCATGAGCTACATGCTTGGTCCTTAATTACTACTCATTGATAGGTATTTGTGGAGTATCTTATTTATTCCAGGTACAGCACACGACGCTGAAGGTAACACGATGATGAAGACATAGTCACTAAAGCAACCAATGAAAGAGAAATCGAGGTCGGAGCAAGTATAGCAGGTAGGGCACTTGACTTGTACACGGTCGATCCGGATTCAATCCCCGGCTCCAAACATGCTCCCCTGAGTACCGCCAGGAGTGATTCCTGAGTGAGAGCCAGGAATAAGCCCTGAGCACTGCCTAATGTGGCCCCAAATAGAAACAAAACAAATAAAAACAGTCACTGGACTCCAGAACATTTTGACTTAAGAGCGGAAGAGACAAGTAACCCAGAAATTATAACGCAGCATGTGATGAGTACTCTGACAGGAATAAGCACGGGGAATTCGAGGACACGTGGGGACACCGGGGTATCTAATGTAGTGCAGGAGAATCAGTCCTATTTTACACACATTTGCTGAAATCACAGTTGCTGAAAGGAATTTTATATAGGATTGTATATTTAGATACACACGTTTTTACGGGCTATTCCCAACAATGCTCACCCAGATGAAGCGACAGTTTGACAGGCACATGCTCCATCCTAGTCCTCAGCTTTGTGCCTGTATGTACTTTTTTTTTTTATTACTATTTTGGTTTTGGGGCCACACCCTGCCGTGTTCAGGGCTTGCTCCCGACTCGATTCAAGAATAACTTCTGGCGGGGTTCGGAGACCATATGCGGTGCTGGAAACAGATGTGAGGCCAGTCATGTGAGACCGTCAATCTCTCAGTGCCTGCACCATCTCTCCAGCTCCTTCGAGTTTATGTTAAAAGATCCGTCATTCAGAGAGAGAGAGAGAGAGAGAGAGAGAGAGAGAGAGAAAGGGAGGGAGGGAGGGAGGGAGGGAGAAATGGAAGGAGAGAGGGAGGAAAAGAGGGAGGGAGGGAGAAGGAGGAAGGAAGTAAGAGAGAGAAGGAGAGAAAGGGAGGAAGGGAGGGAGGAATGGAAGGAGGAAGGGAGGAAGAGAAAGGGAGGGAGGAAGGGAGGGAGGAGAGGAAGGAGGAATGGAGGAAGAGAGAGAGAGAGAAGGAAAGTGCCTGCTACAGAGAGAGGCTTCGGGCAGGGTGGCAGGTGGGAAACTGGGGACAGTGGTGGCGGGAAGTGGACACTGTCAGCGAGGTCCATTTTATCCTAAGCTGCGCTAAATGTCGGCTCCTTCGTACCATCTCTCAGTTACGGTCCCTGGCAGCACAGGTGACGGTGCTCCAGGTAAGAAGGCGCTGAAGCATCGGACACAGGGTTCAGAGGGGCTCCGAGGAGGACCGGATGGCCCAAAGCATGCAAGTGCCGAGAGTCACCAGCAGCTCTTTGAAACAGGAGGCGCTGCATGTGGTAATTCCTCTTAGAAAACAACTCGTCGATGGCTTTAACTATAACCTCCCCCAGCTCCAAGTACAAGAACATATTCAGAAAGCAGTATCTGGCTTGTCTGCTTCTTCAAAGCAAAGTTTATTCACACGTGAGGGGAAAGCTGTGTCGAGAGAAGGACGGGTTCCAAACCCAGCCAAGGGGCTGGAGCGACAGCACGGCGGCGAGGGCGTTTGCCTTGCACGCGGCCAACCCGGGTTCGATTCCCAGCATCCCATATGGTCTCCTGAGCACCGCCAGGAGTAACTCCTGAGTGCAGAGCCAGGAGTGACCCCTGTGAAATGCCGGGTGTGACCCAAAAAGCAAAAGCAAAAAAAAAAAAAATCCCAACCAAACATGAGAACAACGGTGCAAATGTGAGGAAAAGTGCCCGGGCTCACTCTACGGCACCAACACCCTAGAGTAGGAACTGAGTGAGAGTCTGCCCGATGGGGAGGGGGTCTGAGCCGGCACCAAGGGCTCTGGGCAGGCACGACACTCACCCCCCTTGGACTGGCCCAATGCCGCGAGCATCACCCCGCCCCCGTCTCCTGGGGGCCGGGTCCCCACTAAAGGTCAGTCCCACGGGGCGCACCCTCCTGAGCGTGGCATCCCCGACCAGGCGTTCGCGATGGAGGGGCTTGTACCTGTCGGCCTTCATCAGCAGGCCGGGCGGCAGCTCCGCGAGCTGGTTGTGCTGCACGTCCAGCACCTCCACCGACGTCCTCTCCAGCCTCTCGGGCAGCCGCTGCAGCTGGTTGTGGCCCGCCAGGAGCTTCCGGAGGCTGCTGTTACAGAAGAGGCTGCATGGGGAGACAGCAGGGGGGCGAGTTACTGGGGGAACCAGAGGGGAGAGTCAGAAGCAGACGCGGGCCGGGCGGGGTGGAGAACACGCCTGGCAGGGAGGAAGGAGAGGAAGGAGGCCCTGGGCCTGACGCTGGCTGCTGTATTGCTCCTGCCCGGCCATCAGAACAGCCCACATCACTGCAGCAAACAACAGAAATATCAGAAGCAGGCAGACGTTTAATATCCTCCCTCCCTCAGACCGTCAACTCATTCTGAGCATCTGCAACCTTGTTTTAACGACTTTGGCCCCAATTTCTGTACTTGCCATATATATACAAATATATATATATATTTATGAAATGTTTGAACCTGCGGTTCCTCTCGCACTGATGAAAGGGACTCCGCACCAGGCTGTGGGGCAGGTGAGAGTCCACCCCAGCCCAAGGGACCCGGCCCCGGCAGCTGAAGTCCACTACCCAACCACCGCCACGCTCCAGGCTGCTTTCCTGTGCGGCCGCACGACATGTTATAAGACATTTCCTACCCATTTATGCCTCTCGGAGAGCCCGGCAAGCTACCGAGAGTATCCCGCCCGCACGGGGCAGAACCTGGCAAGCTCCCCGTGGCGTATTCGATATGCCAAACACAGTAACATCAAGTCTCATGATGGAGACGTTACTGGGCCCACTCGAGCAAATCGATGAACAATGGGAGGACGGGGCTACAGTGCAGTGCTACTGCAACTATCAAAACTAGATTATTTGCTCATGAAGATGCCGGCACCCAGTCTCACCCGTGTGAAACCACACGCCACCTATTCCATATCCTGGCATGACAGAATTCGCAAGTTCAGTTATTCACCTTTCGTTTGGTGTTTGAGCCACACCTGGCGGAGTTCAGGGCCGACTCCTGGCTCTGTGCTCAGAGATCACTCCCGCTGGTGCCGGAGGGGGCGGGGGGGGGGGGGGGACGACAGTCTGTGCCAGGGACCCAATAGGGCCAGCCCTGTGCGAGGCAGGTGCCCTGCCCGCTGCACTCTGCATCCAGCCCCAGCAGGATGCAGGCCGAACCATCCCCTCTTCTTTCTGTGCTGGGAAGGTAGCTCAAGGCCTCACACACAGGGAGTATCTGCTCCGTCACAGTGATAACCCCCGTCCCTGGGCTTTGCCGGCCGAGAGGCCAATGTGTGAAGACGGATAATCCAGGGGAGTTAGATTATTTCCCCTGTCACTTCAATAGTGCAGGATTTGCTGTACGATTTTTCTCTCTTATTGGGCCTGCAGTTTAGAATTCCTGGAGGGTAGAATGGGGTTATTTATCATTTATATGCTCTTTCTCTCTCTGTCTCTGCCTCTCTCTCCCCCTCACCCCCCGAGATAACTAATAATTCATCAGAAATTCATTATTATGGTTTGCCATTCAAGCCTGTTTTCCCTTGAATATGTATCTCACTTGCTTGTCTGTTTCTTTGCTCTCTGCCTTCACTCTTGAACACATTTTCTTTCTCTCCTCTCCTAACTTCCTAAGTAAGCTTCAGGAAAAGCTACCTTGCTTCACTTAAAAAAACAAACTTTTCTTTCATATACTATTCTTTTCCTTTTAATACGCTTCTACTTTTAACTACTAAATTCTCTTTTGCCAAATTCTTCACACACATTAAACACAGTTTTAAATCAACTTCTAATGAATCACTGTCTTGTCTAGATATTAGATCCATGACAGGATGATACAAAATTTACAGCGAAATGTCACCATGAGAAAGCAAAGCAGAATGTTATTTGTCCCACCTGTTAAAATACACAGATAAATGCTCTTTAACTCCTTGACAACAGCACATGTAAAGTTTGCTTGGCATAGTATTTGTTTAGTTTTTTTTTTAAAAGCCTCTACCAATGCAAAGCAAACCAAAGATTAGTTTTAGTGCTGCGGACAAGTTGGACAAGTATATTACTTTGTATTGATAGTGCGTGTTTATGTGTGTGTCTTTGTGTGTGTGAGTGTGTGTGTTACTGTTGGGTTAGAGAGACTGAATAGAGAAACCAAAAAGAAAGACAACAGCAAAGATTTCATTCTTTCGTTCAATCAAACTTTCCCGTACTAGTGGTGGCCTGTAGGATACCACTGTTTTGTCCTTCCTGCATAGCCTCAGGTAGTTGAGGTTTATTGGGTTGCTCCCATCACAGTGCTCCCATTCCTCTGTGTTTATTTGTAACTTTCTTTGTGCTCTGTTGACTTGTAAATATTGTTTTCCTCTTCTCCACAGTCCAATAACTTATCAACATATCAATACTAGCTATTTTTGTATGGACACAGTAAGAGATACCATTGAGACTTGTAGGGCAGCTCTCCTGGGAACATCTTGCCACAGACTCAGACTATAGTGCTCAGGCCAGATTAATCATTCCTAACCTTAGCAGGGTCCGAATCTAGTTATTATCTTTTGGATCATGACAGCATTTATCCATGCCCAAGCTCTTAACTTACAGTTAAGTTTTTACAGTGGCCCCTTTTTATTTTTGGTGTCTTCCCTGTAAAGGGTCTTTCTCTTGCATGCAGGAGGCTGGGTTCAGCTTGCATACATACATGTGTGCACGTGAGCGTGTGGACGCACACAACATGCACACGCACGTACGCACACACACACACACACACACACACACACAGTCCACAGGGCGTATCATCATCAACGTCTTCTCTTGATAACTGTGATGGACCATTATCTGGGTCACCTAAATGCTCACTCAACAAAACTCAAAAGCAGAAGAAATTTCCACATGAATTGAACTAAGGGTGAGTGTATGCCTAAGGAACAAGGTAAAATTAATAAAATTTTCCAGGGAATGGAAAAATATAATGCAGGTTTCTTGTTACTCAATAAAAACATAAATGCAAGGCTATCTTTTATAAAAAAAAAAAAAGTTTACTAGCGGCTCCACTTCAGAAGACAAAAAGGGAATGTCGAGACAGTCAGGCAAGGTGCTGGGTTGCACGAGGCAGACCTAGTCAGACCCCAGCGCCACGGGGACTCCTGAGCACGGTCAGCAGGAGTTGCCTGGACCCCCGCCACCATCTCTGCCAGATGGCAACAGCAACTGATGCACAGGCCAGGCCCCCAGAACGTCCCAGGACAACCTCCTTCCCCCACAAAAATAGCGATGTGTTAATCAAGTGAAAAATGAAAAGCAGACAGTCCTTATGCTTTATTTAACCCAATATATTCAATAAATTAACATGCAATTAACGCATATATTACGAATATATTTTACATCCACTGTTTAGTTTGGGCGGGGGAGGGTTGTGGAATCTGGGCCATTGTTAATAGTGCCTGGGTCTTAGTTCCAGCTCTGTGCTCAGGAATCAGCCCTGGCAAGTTGTGCAAAGGCAAATGCCCTCCCACCGTACCAGCTCTCCAGCCCCTCCACGTCTGCACCTCAGCATTCACTGAACTACTCCTATGTGAAGTGCCCTGCCACCCCTTGGCTGACGGCTGTGTGCCGGATTAGAAAGCGTACCTCTAACAGATTTACGAGTCTGGCCAACCACATCTACTTCTGGACCCCTGTTCTTACAAGAAACAAAGGTAGTGATCAAATACCTTTCAAGATTGTTCACTGAAAGTCAAAGCTTGCTCCAGGGTCAGAGTGAGACAGCCTTTGCCTTGTATACGGCCCACCCGGGTTAGATCCCTGGCACCGAGTATGGTCCCCAGAGCTCACCTGCAGGATCCCCGAGTGCAGTCAGGAGTAATAAGCCCTGAGCACTTCCGGGTGGGCCCCAAACAAATAGAACTCATTCCAAAAAGTGACATTATTTTGACAATACTTCCAGAAAGAGAGAGAGAGACTGAGAGTCGAGAGAGAGAGAAAGAGACAGACAGACAGACAGACAGAGAGAGAAAGAGTGAGAATTCTTTTTATTTTTGCACCCCTACCTTTTATATTTTCAATTGTACCAAGTAACAACTCTTTATCCATGCGGTGGAAAGAGCTCCCCCTGAGTTGTGGCAGCGACTGTCACTGTCACTGTCACTGTCCTGTTGTTCATCGATTTGCTCGAGCGGGCCCAGTAACATCTCCCATTGAGACACTTGTTACTGTGTTTGGCATATGGAATACGTCACGGGGAGCTTGCCAGGAGGTAGCGTGGCTGAGTGGTCCTAAGGCGCTGGATTTAGGCTCCAGTCATTTCGATGGCGTGGGTTCGAAACCCACCGCTGCCACACCGTCCGTGGCTGCCACTAATCTCAAGTAAATACTATGGCGATCCTTCTGCAGGCTATACCCTAGACGTCATCACTAGGCTGCTTTACTGACTTTGCTTTAATGCCATTAGGGCAAAATTTATGAAATGAAAATAACAGCACTTTCAAGTGAGAGAAAAGAAGGAAAAGGCAAGCTCTTGGATCTTCTCCCACTTTCACAGCAAGAAAAATAGAATCCAGTTTGCCCTTTCAATGCTTAATGATCCAATCATTTTCTTTCTTTTTTTTTTCCTTCAGGGCACTTGCCTTACACAGGGCCGACTCGGGTTCAATCCCTGGCATCCGTATGGCCGCCCGAGCACTGCCAGGAGTGATCCCTGAGTGCAGAGTGGGGGGTGAAGGTGTGGTCCCAAACCAAACAAACAAAATAAAACAGACAAACAAAATTTTTTTAAAGTGACATTTGAAGGAATCCAAACATTTTGTCACATAGAGAGATTATTAAGTCAACGTCAAAAAAAAAAAAAAGAAGTGAAAAATCCAGAAAGAATATTGAAAGGCAGGAGAGGCTCCAAGGGCGGTGGTAGGTTCAGGAGGCCCCAGGTTGACCCCTGAGCATGCAGGGTCCCCAGCACTGAGTTGGGAATAGCCCTGCAAGACCCCCAAAACAAAACAGCAGCAACAAAAAAGAGTTGGAATTACAGAGGAGAACTAGCTGTCCTGTTTCCCGATCTTTGAAGATTCACTTGGACTTATTTATAAATGTCTGCCAGTGATGCCGCGACCCCCTCCAGCTACTTCCAAAGGTCTGGCAGAGAGCCAAAGCCACACTCAACTCTCCACCACGAGACAAAGTCTGGGACGTGAAGATCCATTGGAGGTAAGATAGAAAATAAGGGCTGGGACTCTTTCAGGGTTCCCAAACACAAGTTTGACATTCAGTCAGTATTCTGAAAACAGACAGGCTAATGGTCTCCGACCTGATCTGAACGACTCACCGTGCGGGAAGGTCAGAGATTTGATTATGGGCAATATCCAAGACTTCGAGCTTACGGCTTTCACACACCCACTCAGGCACGTTCTCTAAGCGGTTCCTAAGTGGAAGAATACAATTGTTTCTTTGAATGTAATTACAGTTCAAAACTCAATTATATATAATATATAAAACATCAAATGAAATACCAAGAATAATGAGTATAATCAGAAAGATTTGTATATTCACTTTAATCTTTGCATGAGAAGTTATAGAAAGGAATACTTGAAAAAAAGGAAAAAAGGACATAGTTATACGGTCTGAAATCTAAATTTAAAAAAAAAATCTGATACCAAGAATTCCTATTCTAAATATAAACCGTATGAGTTTAGGGAGATGTCTTATTCTGGAAGAAACAAACAACTTCATAATTTACTTGTACTAAGTAATCAAAGGGTAAAGTTTTATTTTTCCAATTTTCATTCTAACTAGTAACATTAAAATACTTTCAATGCTGGACAATCTGATGAGGGCACAGCCATAGACAAACAGAAGTGAGAAATGGTTTTAAAAAATTCCAGCAAGGGGGTTGGAGTGATAGCACAGCAGGTAGGGCATTTTCCCTGCATGCGGCTGACCCGGGTTTGATTCCCAGCATCCCATAGGGTCTCCCCGAGCACCGCTGGGAGTAATTCCTGAGTGCAGAGCCAGGAGTAACTCCTGAACATTGCCGGGTGTGACCCAAAAAAGCAAAAAAAAAAAAAAAAAAAGCTAGCAATAGGTGGGAAAAGTACACTGATGAAGGGACAGGTTTTGAAACACTGGATAACTGAAACCCAATCATGGACAACTTTGCAACTCTTTATCTCATGGTGATTTAATAAAAATTTTTTTAAAAAATTTATTTTTCAATAAATAAAATGGCAGCAGTGAAAGTTACACTAAACTGTGAAAGTTACACTAAACTTAATCTCAAAATTACTTGAAACAATTTAGCTATTAAATGATTATAATTATAAAACACAAGTGAAATAATAGTGCCTTTAATTAGTAGATGAACTGATCATTTCTTAGATAAGCCAACATTTACATGTTGATCTAGATATAAAACAGACACCCCAATTAAGTTTTTTTCTAAAGTAAGTTGTGGGACCAGGGGCAAAGAAGCTAAAATGATATGTACTTTATGATTAAAATTCTTTTAAAACAATTTTGTGAAAACAGGATGTTTGGAACTGGGAATAATTAAAGCAAAAGTGAAAAAAAATCTTGACGTCAAGGCTGTTATCTTATGGGATTTAAAAAATCAAGTTCATTAACTTCATTATTCTATCAACTTCTCAACTAAAACATAGAACAGGCATTAGCTCTTCCTGAGTGAGACCTAAGCACTTGGTGCTCTGACGCCTTACAGTTAGACGCATTTGGTCATCTGCAGTTGTTAACCTCTAAAACATCTCCTAAGAGAGGAGAGTGAAGTACCCCTCAGCAGAAGATCCCTCACTATGGAGCGACTAAAACTCCTCCAGTGAGAAAATATAAAAACAAGCCTGGCTCTTTGGATTTGAGAACCGCTGAAGACCGAGGCAACACCGCCAAGGATGACAGCTCAGTCCCCTTAGAAAATACAATTCCTCACCCCAAGACAGAAGGGTGCCACAGGGACCGAGTTGAGGGGACTCAGAGGGCTTCTGAGAGTCCCACAGTCTGGGCGGAACACAGGAGGAAACAGAGCACTGTTCCAAGGGGAGACTGGCCGAGTAGAGAAAAGAAAGACGAATGGTAGTTAAGAGCCAGAATTCAGGGACGGGCTATTTCTAAGTCAGAGTCACTCGAGGTCTCAAAGAAAACCTTTTGCCAAGAACACTCGCTGAATACAAGGAAAACTGATTCACTTTATGACCAATTCTGAAATCTGTTCAACATATTTCTTTCCACCTACAGACGCAAAGCCCACTCCAGCTAGCACTGCTCTTACTGAAAGGATGATGGCAGTGACTTTAAAAGAAAAAGGGGGGGAGGGCGAATGAATTAGGTTATGTGTGATTCCACGTTCATGAACAAAACTGACATGAATTTAGAAGGTGACCAATGGAGTAGCACTCATTGTCTATGAATTCTGGATCAAATTATAACTAGTGATTCCCGAAACAGCTAAATTCTGACATAGTCTTACATAATTAAGATCAAGACTATTATAAAAACGGCAGGCTCGCATATATTCAGTTCTAAAGAGAAAGTTCTGCCTTTGAAAGAGCACTCAACAACGGTGACCGCTAACAAACAGCAGGATTAATTGTGGCCAAACCGAGACAATATTTTCTTTTTTTGTTTTTTAAATCACACCTGGTGATGCACAGGGGTTACTCCTGGCAATGCTCGGGGGACCATATGGGATGCTGGGAATCGAACCCGGGTCGGCCACGTGCAAGGCAAACCGCGCTACCAGCTGTGCTATCGCTCCAGCCCCGACAATATTTTAAGAGAGGAGAAAGAAGAGGGAGAGGGGTGGGGAGCCTACACGGCACAGGGGGGGCTCTCCTGAGCTCTCAAGTGTGAGGTGTGACAGGCTGGGGTGAGCGCCCAGGTACCAGCCTGCAGGACCGCAGGCAGCTCGTGCTGTGGGAGGCAGAGCAGTTGGGCATTTCCTTGGAATCACTTTTGAAGCAAGCTACAATTATGGCAATTTAAGATCATTAATGCTTAATTTGGGTCGACCCATCCTTTGTGCCTTCAGGGCCAAGTCAACTATCCTCTTTTTGGGAACTGGAGCAAATCTACTGCCCGGTGCCCGGGACAGTGTGAAGAAGGTGAGGTGGTCAGTCTACTGCAAGGACGCGGAGGAAAGGCAGCGGCTGGCTGAGAGTCCAACTCGGTGCATTTATGGACAAAATAACAGAGGAAGAAGAAATATTAATGTATCATATTAAAAAAACTTAAAATGCACACATCTCAGGAAGACAGGCAGACACAGTGTATCAAGGTAAGTAACCGGCTGCCCAGACACAATTCTTTTAAGCTCAAATTAGCAAGTGCCCTGACTCTGGTCTGAACTGCTCCAGACGAAAGAGGCATTTTAACTAACAGATATTTATATGCACTTTCAGAGAAGAAGTAAAACCTACTGAATTTAATTTTTATCATATTAAAAATTAAAAAAAAACACCTTAAGCTCAGACAGAATTACCTAAATTATTTTTAAGGAGACTCTCAAGAATGTTGCCCTAGGACAAGGATTCTTACCTGGAAACATCCATGTAAGACAGGTAATTTGGAACTGGGTAAACATCAAGTTGAACAAGTTCTAGAAGGAGGGAAAAAAAAAAACACACTCACACACAAAAATTACCCAACAAGTGACAGAGACTGTCTTTGTATGTAGAGTATCATTACTGGGCTTTATTCTCTATTGTTTATTTGGATTAGGACATACAATACACACATTTGTCCAACTTTGGAACTACAAAAAAGTACAGAAAACTTTGAATTTAGTCACAAGACCTTATTCAGAGATTGAAATCTATCGGTCTCCATTTCCACATCCTTCCCTTCCAACTTAACGGTGGCTTTTCTCTTACATTTGCTAAATTTTACCTGGAAGACTGGATGAATACCATATTCTACACACTCAGGGCTCCCTCCATAAAGCCAAATGCATTCTGACTTTGGCCTTTCCCACTCTACTGAAAGAGCACTTCTTCGCCCTGGCCTCTCTGGAAAGAAAGATGGCGGCCACACGGGAGCCTTGTGGACAGCAGGTTTGAGCCGGGGGTGGGGGCGGCAGGGACCTCATGGGAAGGGGGGGCGTTCCGGTCCGTCCTTCACGCCCTACCGAGGTCACCAGTTGCCCCCCACAAGCGGCTCTCCGGCACGGCCACGAATCCAGAGCACAGAAACCAATCTCTTAACTAACTAACTTTCAATAGAAATACTTCCAGGGTTAATAAGTAAAATAGCAGAAATCCAAAACTGCGCAGCTGCAATAGCGGCCGCACGACATCATTTAATTCTTAAACCCAGCTGTAGAGAGCAAATCATTTCACAACACTTTTTCAGCATGTCTGATTTGGAGGGGGGGGTTGTAAACTCTAAATAATAATGGTGCATCTTTTATTGTAACAATAAATCTAGTAGATAGAGTGTTAACTAGAACTCATCTGCCTCACAGGAATTGGGAGGGGTGGGAGGTGGGGTTCTATTGGGGTTCGCGGGTAAAAATAAGTATTGGTAAAGGGAAATGTGTTTGATATTTACATGACTGAAACCTTTAAACCTAAAAGCTCTGTAACTTTTCCCACAGTGATTCAATAAATAAATAAATTATAAAAAAAAAAGAGAACTTCTTGGAGCGGGGGGGTGGGGAGGGTTTGTCACAAATGACTTCATTTACTTCAATCAGAAAGTCTGTCTTCAAAACTGCATGGAACGGGTTACTACCATCTACCTAGGGCTTTGTTTCTTAGGTGAAACTGTTTCTAGAAGTACTTGCTGCTTGAAATACTGGCCAAGTAATTCTCGGGCCCAGCGGCCCTCCGGGCGCCCCTGTGGCACCAGCTAGCTGAAGTTGGCAAGTCTGCTTTGCTACCAGCTCTCGTCTCTCTTCGAGTGAGTCACTTCGAGGCTCGGGTACCACCTCTGAGAAGATGAATCTCACATCGCTACCTCAGATCTTGCCAGCAGCTCACAGGGAGACCACGGAGACCGTGGATGAGCAGGGTGCCGGTTTCTCCACTCTCCTTCACACCTGCCCTTGCGCCTCCTTTCCGAGGAGTCTGTGGCATCACAGCCATGACACCTCTCCTTGCCCTAAAAACCAACTTGGTTCTGCCCAGCCAACTGTGCCGGCTTGTCCCAGCAACTTCACCTGCCCCGGAATTACTTCTCGCCACTCTCTGGCCGGTCTCATGCTCTCCAGAATTCTCTACCTTCCCCGCTTGTGAAACACATTTAAATGCTTTCCTTTCCGTGGCTGACTCTTGTGCCCACTGCCTACACAAATCCTCATATCATTCAGGGACCATTTGGAGATTTGGCTTGTTACTGCTGAATACAATAGCAAGCTCATTAAAAAAATCAAACCAAACTAAACCAAACCAAAACTCCCTTTCTAAGACCCATCAACTATACTACACATAAGCATCTGATAGATGTTCAATTAGTATCAGAAGTAGCAGTAATTGCTTTTCAATTCAATTTTCTGAATTTGAGGGATTAGCAGGCGAGAATTCTACCACTGAACCACCAATGGGCTGGAGCAATAGCACAGTGGTAGGGCATTTGCCTTGCGTGCAGCCAGCCCGGCCGAGCCGGGTTCGATTCCTCCACCCCTCTCAGAGAGCCCGGCAAACTACCGAGAGTATCTCGCCCTCATGGCAGAGCCTGGCAAGCTCCCCGTGACGTATTCGATATGCCAAACACAGTAACAACAAGTCTCACAATGGAGACGCTACTGGGCCTGCTCGAGGGGGGCAAGCCTTCTGCAAGCCTGCGCCCTCCTGAGCTCTCTTGTGGTGCTGGGGACGGAACCCAGGGCCACACAAGGGGAGGCGCACACCCTCTCCTCCTTGGCCCCAGGGGACAGCTCCTTCCTTCTAGCTGCCAACACTTGCCCGGTCCAGGGTCTGAGATCCCATCATGGGAGATGAGGGTGGACACGCAGGCGGCTCTGCGGTCAGTTCCGCTGTAAGCGGGAGCACAAAACCCGAGTCCCTGAATGAACTGCAGGACGGGTCTTCCTCTTACTTTCACTTTCCAAAATGAAATCAAGGCTCCAGACCTGCCTCTTCACAAGGCAGCCAGAGCTGGAGTCCCTCCCACCCCACCATCCCCTGCCCAGTCCCACCCCCCTCACCCCCATCCCCAGGAGCCGAATCACAAGGGGGCGTGATCTCTCCTATCTCCGTATGGGAAACACAAGAAAACCTCCCCCCCACCCCCTTCGGTTCCTTTAAATACCAAACCAGCACTCTTTCTTTTATGACTTTTTTTTTTATCATAGCAAAACTTGACACTTTTATTTTACTAAATCTGCAGAAAGGCAAATCAAAGGGAGCTAGAGCTGATGGCGCTAAAAAAAAAAATTCTTGGAACCCGAGGAGCGACTTTGATGTGGTCTCTGGGACATACCATTGGAAGAGGCATAGAGTGCTTTCAGGAAATAGCCACAGATGTTTAACGTCACCAGCTGATTCCTTTCACAGTGCAAGACTTCGATGTTGTTGAAAACCACGGCATTGAGTTCTCCCAGCTTATTGTCGCGCAGGTCAAGCTGAGTGACGTGCGGGAGGAAGTCTATTTCATCGGCCACCAGCTTCCTAATTATGTTCAGTCTGGAGGGGAAAGCGTGCAAACACAACTCTGGTTAACGGCCGTGCCAGAAATAAACGGCCACACCCCAAGAGGGGGAGGCGAGGAGAAGGAGCCTAGGTTATGACAGTCACTCTATTCCTGTGTTACGGTTCCCCATTACTTCTTTAATCTCAGCCCTTGCTACTAAACTGGCCAGATTCTCTGGCTATTCTCAGCTGTTACTGGGGTCCGGATAGGTTCGCAAGGTTATCGCAAATATATTCTGTGAGACCTCTATGGATAAAAGAAGAGCACACGGAGTTACTTTAACTTAATCCACCGCAAGACAGGGGGGGAAAAATCTATTTCGCCATTATTTCCAAAGAATTTGACTGAATGAACACAAGAAACAAAATGTTGGGCAATTATGCAGGTCGCATGAGACTGCATAGTGACCGAAGGAGAGAGAATGAGCAGTCACACAGAGGGAAGTCCAAAGGAGCACTGGGGAAGAAAATGAAAGTCATATTCATACCAAATATAGGAAAGCAAATAAATACCTTGATTTGGGGCTGACTCAGAGCCCACGATTTCATACCCAAACTGCCTCATCTTAAAATTCCGCTGGAGTGATAGCACAGCGGGCAGGGGATTTGCCTTGCACATGGCCAACCCGGGTTCGATTCCCAGCATCCCATATGGTCCCCCGAGCACCACCAGGAGTGATTCCTGAGCGCATGAGCCAGGAGTAACCCCTGTGCATGACTGAGCATGCCCCAAAAGAAAAAAAAATCTGCTTAAAAGTGCAGAAGACACTGGACCTTGTCATCCAGGTTTCACTTAGTAGAATACAATGACCGCCAAGGACGGAGACCTGCCACCGAGTGCAGACCAGATAAGGGCAACGCTGCCGTCTCAGGAAGAGAGTGGCCGGCAGATGAGGACTCCGTCAGGGAGCACCTGGACGAGGGGCCTGGGGACCAATACCTCAGGGCTACCGTTCACTGCAAGGGGAGGCAGAACATGGGACAATCTCAAGGTCTACTCTGCCAGGCGCTGCCCAGCTCCTTTCTAAACCACCAACGTCCTCTGTGTCTGATACAAGCCAGGAGATTGAGAAGAGCATCTGCTTGGCTGGAAAAGCACGGTTTGGGAGATGGGGCATAGAAGGCAGCCTTGGGGGAAACTGCTCGTTAGAGAGATGTCAGGGGGAACTGCTCGTGAGAGAGATGCGGGAGGAACTGCTCGTGAGAGAGATGCGGGAGGAACTGCTCGTGAGAGAGATACATGCGCAGTAGCTGAGGGAGCCACAGAGCAACACGGCCAGGCCACCCAGCACAAGGATGACCCAGAGCCAAGAGCCGCCCCAGGAACATGCTCGCTCAACATATGCTCATTTCAAAAGTCCTCACAAGGGAATTGTTTTTTTTTTTTTTGGGGGGGGGCAACTTTTCTTTTTCATTTTCATTCCATGTTACAATATAAAAACACTGATATCAAACTTGGCAATTTGCCTATTTCCTAATGCTTACTAGCCCCATCAATTTCACTGTGATGACACTTGAATGATTAAAGGGCTGGTCTAATGAGAAAATGAGAAAAAATCTAAAAAGGGAAGTTATCATTCTCACAGTTGCGTGTAACTCTTAAGTCCTATCAGAGCTTAAAATATTAAAAGTTCTAGACTTACTCAGTAATACAGCTCTTTAGGATGAACACTTGAAAGTGAAGAAATGTGTTTAGAAATACCCTTTCGGAGAGTAGAAACAAGGGCAAGGAGGATTAGTCCACGGTTGGAAGCCTGTCTCAAGAGCTGGGGAAGAAGGCTACTGCGATGGAGAGGGGACCACTGTGACAAAGACAGTTGGAAATGATCATTCTGGATGGGAACTAAGGGCTGAAAGTAGGTAAAGGAACAAACATGATAACCTCTCAGTATCTGTATTGCAAACTGAAAGGAGGGAGAGAGGGAGAGAGGGAGAGAGAGAGAGAGAGAGAGACAGAGAGAGAGACAGAGAGAGAGACAGAGAGAGAGAGAGAGACAGAGACAGAGAAGGAAAGTAATGGCCACAGAGCCATAGAGGCAGGCTAGGGGAGGTGATGGTGGTGGTAGGAAAATTCACACATTCCTGATGGGAAACAGACCCTGGTGGACTTAAGGCTGTTGCAACATTGTATGACTGATGACTGAAACCTGGTCACTAACAACTCTGTCACTGTGTATCTCACTGTGACTCAAACCCTTAGGGCTGAGAGCTAGATCAACAGGATGAGCACAAGCAGGAGGCAGGTGGGGGTGGGGGATAAGATAGACCCCCAGCAGCACGTGGACCAGCAGAGGGTGGAGTGACCCCTGAGCACTGTCCAGGAGTAGGTCCGAAGCACCACTCACTGGGAGTGGTCCTAAACCAATCAAATAAAAGAAACTTTCTCCTAATAATCCTCTAAGTCCTTTAGCTTTCTGAATCCACATTGAGTAGTGGGAAATTGTGGACAGGAAGTGGGGAAGAATGTCAGGTTTGAGTTGCAGCCGGCAGATCAGCGGACCAGCGCTGGACAGAGTGACCTGCATAGGTCTATCAGCATCTGTCGCACGCCCAGCTCTAACCTGCAGGGCAGGGAAGACACGTCCCCAGTCCCACGGGCAGCTGAGCAAAATCAAATGGCCCCATGCTGGCCCGGGAGAGCCACAGTGATGAGGATGACGACTACTCTGTGTCAGAAAGAGACGAATAAAAAACTGCCGTCAGATGCAGTTATTCAGCAAGGACAATCATGTATACTTTCAGATAACAAAACACTTCCTTACTGTGATTGCAACATACAGCAGTTGAAAGGGCTTGCAGTCACTGCAGCCCTGTCTTCAGTCCACTCCCTGGTTCAACGTGTAGGATTTGAGAAATCCACCTGGAGGCTAGGGCAGCCTCAAATCAGTGCCTGCCTCTGACATACAGTTTGAGCCTCTGGACGTCTCACTGTGAAGAAGTAGCCAATAACGGGCGGGCGGGCTGCCTGCAGTCTCGACCTCAAGGTGCTGGCAGGCCTGGAGGGCCAGACCCGAGAGCTTGCATACACCATACCAGAGAACTGAAGGTTCTCAGCACACTGCTTTTCAGAGGCTCAGAAAGGAGACAGTAGTAAGGAAGAGGCAAGGATAAGGAGAAAAGTGAGTTTGAACAAACAAGAGGCTCTGCTCGTAGATTAGAAGTGGTTTCTAAAATGTGGTGTCCGAGGGCCAGAGCGATAGTACAGGGAACAGAGCATTGCACACGGTCTTGCACATGGCCAAGCCCGGCTCCATCCCCAGCACTGCAGATGGTCTCCTGAGCACCCCCAGAAATGATCCCTGAGCACAGCCGAGCGTGACCCAAATACTCCCCATCATGCCCCCCCACCCCAAGAGTCTGGTGTCCGGATAACCAACAATGTGCAGCAAGAATTGGAATCTGGGGTAAAAAACAGGCTGAATAAAGAAGCCAGATACCAGATGGCATCACTCATGTGTGGTATACACACAAACGAAGCCAAGGAATAGACACTGTCAGACAATAACAGACCCTTGGCCTTGGATTCCAAAAAAGAGTTGAGAAAGCTGGACAGTGGGTTAGGGCATGAAAACATGGACTAAAAAGTACACATGGACAGTGGATGACCATCTGGGACACTCTGAGGGTAGGGAAGGTGCAGTAATTTTGTACAGAAAAATCATAAATGTTAGCACTATTATAACCATGTTAACTAAACTGCACAAAACATACATATATATATACATATATATATATATACCGCCATCACTATAATTATAGAACTATTCATTCTGACTAATGATACAATTTGGCCACGGAGAAAATTACATTGCTTTAACTGATGTTATAAAAAAGATGTTAAAATAAGTAAATGACACAGATATAAAAAAAATATGGAAGTCTGTTTTAATCAAGGGAAACCAAAGGAAAATAAGAAAACTTTTGTGTGGTAAGAAACAGGGAGACTTTGGGGCTGGAGTTGATAGTACAGTGGATAGAACGTTTGCCTTGCATACAGAGGACCTGGGTTCGATCCCCAGCATCCCATATGGTCCCCCAAGCACTGCCAGAGGTAGGTAATTCCTGAGTGCAGAGCTAGGAGCAACCCCTGAGTGTCTCTGGGTGTGACCCCAAAAGCAAAAGAAACAGACAAAAAAGAAACAGGGAGACTGAGAAGAAGAGGCAGTTCCTACTTTGCCAATCACTGGGCAAGACAGGAGGCAATTTAGGAGAACTCTTGGGCGCCAACAGCCACAACATGGACCAAGAACAGAAGAATAATAAATATGTATCAGACCAAAATTCGCCAGCTCAAGGAAAAGAGTTAAGAAGATCACTATTAATCTGATGTAGCGTTTCGATCTGAAGAAGGAAAAAACAGGCTCTCCCCCTGCCCCCCAACTCTGGAGAAGCCTGGAGTTCTCTTGACATACCAGACTCCCTGATTCATCACCTGGCTAAGAGCAGAGGACGATGCTCTGTGCATGCAGGGAACGCGTGCTTGTTACCTGAAGCCAGTATGGCCCTTGGAATCCAGCAGGGAGCTGGAATTTGAAAAGGGCTGAGCTCCAACGATAAGGTTCTCCAAACCCAAATGACTCAGGAGCAAATAATGTCAACAACTCAGCTGACAACAATTTAGAAAGTTAACGAGACAAAGTGTTCAGTTCCCTGTCCTGTCACATTCCAAAAAACTCTCCAAGCCAGATAAATTATAACCATTTGTACTTCCCGAACTGAGACCCATCGGTCTGCAAACTGCTAACGCCGCCCAGGTGTGGCAGGCTCTGTCACTTTGGCATGAGAGACGGTACACCAAACAACTTGCTGCGGGAATGGAATGAATGGATTTCCTCGACCTAACCACAAAAAAACCACATGAAAAAGGGGTGCGAAAGATGCTCCTTTCTATCGGCTGAAATCAGACGGGCCTGAGTAAGGGCGTGGGTCGATCAGGAAAGCCAGGGCGGGTCTGCCTCTACGGCGAGACGTGGAGCGACGCCAAGAATGACAGCTGAATGGTTCCAGAAGTGTCCTCCGTCGGGCAGTGAGAACGAAACAGAGAGCTTCCCCGGAACAGAAGCAACCAAAGTCAATCCCTTCCCAGACTCGATGGCTTAGGTGCTGTTACTAATTGTCATTTCTAGACGAGCGCACAGTGGTTCAGAGGGAGGAAACGTCTTGTTCCACCCGTAACGTGGCTGGCATGTATATATGCGGCCATCAATCCCAGCTAGTGGTGGAGGTAGAAACGGTTGACAAAGCATCAAAGGGGGCTGGTTAGTCTAAAACCAATATTTTCTTTTGCAGGAACAAAGTCCATGACTTGCTCTAGTTCATCCTCATAAAAGAAACCCAGGATAGCTTTCTCCGTGGGTCCTCATGCTTTAGAAACTGCAACTGAGCCTGATGTATGACAGGACGGTTACTGAGCATCTTCCATGGAGAGAGGACCGGGCAGTCACTTCCAGCTGGAGTATGACATGCCCAGAATTCAAAAGGCAGGGTCCGTGGCTCTCAAAAGGGGTGAGAAGAGGTGTCGGTCAAATTTTGGGCTGAACATGAGATTATAAGCTTTATAGTTTTCCAAAGAATGGGAAACTCTGGGCAGAGCCACCTGTAAACTAATAAACCTGATAAATTTATCAGTAAATGTAATGAATGCGTTGTATTCTGAGAGTCAAGGAAGAAAAAAAAATATTTGAGGGGAGATGCTCCGTGATGTCAACTGTCTCTCAAGCCACAGCAAAGGACTGAGAGAGAAAGGCACCACTGGTTTTCCATGACATAGCCCCCATGCACGCTAAGGCGCTCTCTGCCTTTGTGGTCTGACTTATTCAGTCACCTGCAGCTCAGAGGCAGAGCATCTGCATTGCATGAGGATTCCTGGCACGACCAATAAAACCCAAACCTGGGTTTACGACAGACACAGACTCACGAGCTGAGACCACGGGGCTCTGGGTACTAAGGGGAAGGGGCCCAGCAACTGCAGTGCAAGGGTACTGGTACTCCGGTAGTAGCTGCAGTGAAGAAACTTTGAAGAGGAATGCAAGGGATAGCTTTAAATATATATAGGTATGTAAATTAAAGTTTTCTCAATTAAAAAAAAAATCTCAAACTTGTAAAATCTTCAAGATACGTGGTAATGTATCGGTGAGAAAAAAATGCTGACAAGTTCCAGATACAAGTAAACTCGATTTCGGTTCACTATGCTCCCCTGCTGCTAATATGGAATCAAACGGGCCAAGCTGCAAAGAGCCAAGTAGCTAGCTTCGGTGGGGGAAAGCCACCAAAAGGCTACCGTCGAAACTCCTCACACAGACTCCGTTTCAGGTGCTCACCTTAGATCCACGTGCTTGATGTGAGGCATTTTTCTTAACGCCTGCAGATTCAGGGTCTCGAGACAGTTTCCAGACATACAAAGTTTCTCCACCGCGGTCAGCTTCTCCAGCACCTCTGGAATGTCAGTGAACTCATTGAACGAAAGACCGAGGTAACTGAGCTGATGCATGTTCTCCAACTCAGCAGGGAGGGTCTGCAGAAAGTTTCCATCCAACAAAAACGTCTGCAAGCTGGGAAGCGAAAGAAATGCAAAGACAATAGATAAATTTTAGATCGGTACGATCACCAAACTAGTTCTGTAAGTACGGTTCATACTACTGGTGAGAAATAACCCAACTACACCGGGCGTGCGAGTAGGGCTTGTGGTGCCCACCCAGACAGCCAAATGCTCCCCACACCACAGTCATTGTCATGTCCCCGGCTGGATTTCACTGCTTCAGGACCAGAAATGCACCTGATGAAATATTCAGGTGCGCGGGTTTTCTGACCAAAATCTCCAGGCTTTTGCTTTGTCCTCTCACCGAATTTCCAGAAGTCCCAGCAGACACACACACACACACACACACACACACACCCCCAAAGCCACCACCCATTAAAAATTTAACTCTTGGGGCTGGAGTGATGGTACAGCAAGTAGGGCATTTGCCTTGCACACAGCCAACCCAGGTTCGATTCCCAGCATCCTATATGGTCCCCCGAGCAACGCCAGGAGTAATTCCTGAGTGCAGAGCCAGAAGTAACCTCTGTGCATTGCCAGAAGTGACCAAAAATATAAAATAAAATAAAGTTAAAAAAATTTAACCCCAGTTGTATTACTAAATTACTATTAAAAAATTCTTGACTTCCTGGGGTAATCTCTCAAGCTCTACAACACTGATAAACCAGGAGCAGAACACCAGTTGGATGGGATGTAACGTAGAAGGGAACCAATCTCGATTAATAAAACATAAACACAGGAGGCTTACCCTGTAACAACATCCTAGTAATCTCTTATACAAAGACCTGATGGCTCGATGGTGTGATTTAACAGTTTTTACTAACTTGCTTCTAAGGCAACATTTTTTGGATCATTCCATTAGCAAATTACTGATAACAAACAATATAAAATAAATTATTAAGAGCCTGCTATGGGGGCAGGCAGAAGGGGTGGTTGCGAAAATTGAAAACAATGGTGGAGGGAAGGTGTAACGACGGTGGGATTGGTGCTGGACTACTGGATTCCTGCAATGAATCATCACAAGCAACTTTGTACACCTCAGTTTATATAAAGTTTAAGGAGGAAAATCTGCATTCGCAGGCCTTACCTATTCTATGTAAACTCCAAAATATATTAACACAAGATAGCTTTAAAAGTGTTATTAGTGACAGGTGAGACATGACTATTACCATGACAAGATCCAAATACAAAATAATTTTTTTTTTTTTTGCTTTTTGGGTCACATCTGGTGATGCACAGGGGTTACTCCTGGCTCTGCACTAAGGAACCACCCCTGGCGGTGCTCAAGGGACCCTATGGGATGCTGGGAATCGAACCCGGGTTGGCCGCGTGCAAGGCAAACGCCCTACCCGCTGTGCTATTGCTCCAGCTCCCAAAATAAAATTTAATGTAATATACTTTAGATTCCAGAGTTGAAAAGTCTATATGTAAACGAGAATAGGCATTTTATCATATTGTATTAAATGGTTTCAATTTTCTTATTTACATAAGTCAAAATCAGTAATCACTAATTGTCTCTTACTGATTTATTTTCTGATCATTCTATTTGCCAGTTCTTAAGGTTTTGTCGAATAAGCAATAGAAATTAAATTTGTTATGTGCCTAACGGGGCAGGTTGGGATTGGGAGGGAAATGGGATATTGGTGGAGGGAAGGTCACACTGGTGGTGTTGGAACACTTGAATGTTTTGTTTCAAGTTGCTAGCTTCAAATGCTTGAAAAAAACTGCATAATGACCAATTTTACAAATCATGGTATTTTTAATAAAATAATTAAAAAATCAGCATACAAAAAAAGTAAGGCTTGCAGCAATAATGTATCAGAGAGGGAAAAAATCAGATACAAATATTAATCCTCGGGACTGGAGTGGTAGAACAGCAGGTAGGGCGTTTGCCTTGCATGCGGCCAACCCGGGTTCGATTCCCAGCATCCCATAGGGTCCCCTGAGCACCGCCAGGGGTAATTCCTGAGTGCAGAGCCAGGAGGAACCCCTGAGCATTGCCACATGTGACTCCCCCCAAAAAATTTTTTTAAAAAATTAGTCCTTTATTGAAAACAAAAATTATGATCATTTTTTCCAATTTATCAGTGGGAATAACGGGAGCTCGCTGCAGTGTGAACCAGCCCAAATGGCCTTTTTTTCCCCAATTAATTTTTCACACTTCGAACTCAACATAACTCACAAAACAGAATGTAAGCTGTCCTTTGTGTTTAGTCCCATTCATTCTCGGGGATCTTTGGTTCTAGATAAGGAGCTTTTGATTTCCCGGCTGTGTTTTGCAGTACCCAGGGTTTAACTCGGCCTCGCTGAGTGAGGCCCGGGCCTTATTCCCCAACCCAAAGCTCTGTGAAATTTTTCCAAGACAATGTCCAGTGAAAACGAGACCCTGAGACTCTACCCACAGAACTGCATGTTCTAAGAAGGGGTCTGAGGGCACCAAAGGGAGGAGCGAGGGGTTGCTGAACAGGCCCCATCCATACGCAGTGATGGAGGGTGACACTGCATCCCCTGAACAAATAAACATGGCACTCTTGTATACCAATGTCACCTTGAAATAAAAGTAAATGCATTTAAATAGAACCCTCCCAAGAGTGTAGAGGCTAGCACTGCACAGGTGCGTCACACGATCACCAAGTGAACTGGCCCCAGGCAGTGTCCAGGGGTGAATGTCTATACGCACTTGTGCATCACGCCCACCGCGGCGGGCACGGCCTGGAGGGCGTTGCAGGACACATTCAGCTCCGTCAGCGTTGGGATACTGCAGACGGCTAACGGGAAGTCCCCGAGACGATTATTGGAAAGGTTGAGACTCTTCAACTTGGTGAACCTATTCGAATAAAACAAGAGGAAAGAAAAAGAGAACGTCACAGCTGAGTAACGGCCCATCATTTCACCTCAGTCCCAGGTCATCCAGCCGGCTCTCCACACCAGCGGGGGAAGGACGGGGTTTTCTGGACATTAGCAAGTAGCAGACCGCCTCTTCTGACCTATTATATTTTTTAAAAAATAAAATTAGGGGCCAGAGAGATAGTACAATGGGTAGGGCATTTGCCTTGCAGAGGCCTACCCAGGCTCAATCCTCAGCATCCTGTAAGGTCCCCAAAGCACCGCCAGGAGTAAGCCCTGAGCACAGAGCCAAGAGGATGCCTGAGCATTGCCCGGCATGGCCCTGAAAGCAAACAAAACAAAACAAAACATATGAAACAAAAGCATGACTCTGAAACAGAGCTGAGGGCTGGAGAGAGAGGAAAGGAATAAGGCATTCGCTTGGTGTGGCCACGTGGGCTGCAACCCTGGGATTCAGTTGTTGGTTTTGGTTTTGGACCACACTCAGCTCTGGCTCTGCACCAAGGAATCACTCCTGGCAAGCTTGTGGGACCAGGGACAGTCCTGAGAATCAAACCCGAGCCGTCCACGTGCGAGGCAAGCGCCCTACCCACTGTGCTATTTCTCCAGCCCTCGACACCCTGCCTTGATCCCTGGCTCCATACACGGTTCCCTGACAGAGCAGGGAGCAGCCCCCCACCCCCACCCCCCCGGCACTGCTGGGTGTGGCCTGACTTGCCCCCAAAAGAGCGAGTGTGTTAATTCACCTATTGCTGTACTCAGTCTGGCCTCTGAGAGGGCGAGTTCTGCTGGGACACGTTTTCTCACTCTACTGACCACACCTGAAAACAGGACAGGGGAGGCAGAGAGTGCCAGGCTGACCCGGGCTTGGGAATTCCTGCCACACACTCGAAACCTCTGCCATGTGGCCTCTCTCCAATCGAGTCGGAAGCCGTCAAAGGCCGCAGAGACGGAGCAGAACCCTGCTCTCTGCCCAGGATGCTGTCATCCCAAACGCCGGAAGCCGGGGCTCTTCCTCCTCGGCTCGTCTCTCCTCAGTGTTGTCCCCGTTTTGTCTTTCCCATTCCAATGGCCCTTTCTCCTCCCCGTGGGTTTCCATCGTCTTCACTCCTCTTCCCCACCACAAAGCGAAGCCTCTCTAACATGAGCTGTCGTTTCCTTTCCTTTCTCTCCCGGCGGTAACGGGCTCACTGCCCATCTCTCCTGCCCAGCAACGCTAGGACAGCCCACACGGAACCCACAGTTTTACCCCAGACCAGCCTTTTCCCCGTCCTGTTTCTGTTAGGGGCCCTTTCACTGTCTTAGTCATCCAAGCAATGGAAGTCTCTTTTCCTTCTCATTCTCCTCTACCAATCTCTATATACCTTATGTATAAGATAAGAAAGGGTCAATGATGATACGATGCTAGGCCTTCATAAACTACCCAAGCTGAGATCAGGCACTGGACACGATGCTTAGAACAGACACACACAATCCTAAAAATAAATCTGTTCAATGCATTCGGCATTTAAAAAATATATATGAACTTTTTGTTGAATTCTGTAATAATGTCAAACCTTGTTCTGAATAGCTGAAGTTTATTCTAGACAGAAAACTGACAATGTATCAATTTCACAGGTTAAAAGTGTTACCATGACATTTTAAAAACTTTCCATGGATGGAGTATAGACTCGATTTAATTAGAAATTAAAAAGAAATAATCAGGGCTGGAGAGGTAGTACAGTCTTTTGCGGGGCACTTACCTTATACATGGCAGACTACGTTTGATTCCCAGCAACCTATACTGGACCCAGAACCCCACCAGGAGTGATCACTGAGCACGGAGCCAGGCATCAGCCCCCAAACATTTTCAAAAATATTTTGCTTCATTAAGTTTTTTCATAAAAATATATATGTTCCTATAAATGTGTTTATTCATCTCCTAAATGAATACATTAGAGTATTTGTTTAAAACTGCCATAGAAGATATAGAACATTAGCTATTTTTACATTTCATATAAACAGTAAATTTTTAGTTTAAGTATATCAAAAATATTACATGTGGCATATTTAGATTTAAAGTATCTTTTATTTTTCTGAAATTCTAATTTTTTTTTAATTCTTCTAAGGGCTGGAGCGATGGCACAGCAGGTGGGGTGCTTGCTTAGCACACAGCCGACCTGGGTTCGATTCCTCCGCCCCTCTCGGAGAGCCCGGCAAGCTACCGAGAGTATCCCGCCCGCATGGCAAAGCCTGGCAAGCTCCCCGTGACGTATTCAGTATGCCAAAAAGTCTCACAATGGAGACGTTACCGGTGCCCACTTGAGCAAATCGATGAACAACAGGAGGACAGTGCTCCAGTGCAGTGCGATTCTTCTAAATCTGACAACCCTACACTGAAACAGACGCAGCTGATGCTCTAGTCCACGGGGAAACGGGGTTCTACTTTCCCAACAGGGTTCCTCGTTTGGTAGAACTGGCTACAGGTAGAAAAGATGCATGCAGCTGAACTCTAGAGAAAAGTTCCTCTCGGGGCCAGAGAGATGGTACAGAGGGCAAGGGACACATGGCTGGCCGAGTTACATCTCTGATACCCCATATGGCTCCCTGAATCCCTAGGGGAGTGATCCTGAATGCAAAGTTAGGAGTGAGCTCTGAGAACAGGAAGGAGGGGGGAAGGGGAGTGGAGGGAGAGGGAGGGAGGAAAAGAGGAAGGAAGGAAAGGAGGAGGAAGAAGAGAGGGAGGGAAGGAGGGAAGGAGGGAGGGAGAGAGGGAGAGAGGGAGGGAGGGAGGGAGGAAAGGAGGAGGAAGAAGAGAGGGAGGGAAGGAGGAAGGAGGGAGGGGGGAGGGAGGGAGGGAGAAATGGAGGAAGGGAGAGCAGGAGGGAGGGAGGGAGGGAGGGAGGAACGGAGGGAGACCAGCCTAGTAAAACAGAAGAGAAAAGGATCCACCAGACATTAATCAACACAATAAATATTTCCAGAACTTTCAGAAAGCTGAGACTGGAAGAAGTATCGCCCTCTGGAAAAGAGTCAGTGAAAGGAAGAACATGTATTTGTCTAAGCCACATGATTCGCTCTGACCCGCCTGAGACTCGAAATGCAGCAGAGGGTGAAATGAGTGGAAGGCGGGTGGCACCACAGAGGGCAAGAGAAAAAAGGAAGCCGCACAAAAACCCCTTTCACTGGCAGCTCCGTTGGTGTCGCGAATGCATGCATGGGATTTTAAAAGAAGTCACGAGCTCGAAACACAGAGATGCAGTTACTCTCTGCGTCAACGCCAGGACAAGAGCGTCGCAGGACGAGAACTCCTGTCCATTCTGGCACGAGCACCATCCCCAGGACACAGCAGGGCTCATTCCTCCTGGACCCACCCTCCCGGGCGCCCGTGTGGACCGGGAGAATGGACAGAGTGGACTGGGGCAGTCCTACCGGCCTCCTCCCGACGCAACCTCCTCGCCAGGCTGTGCGACTTTTACATCTGCATCGACCGTTTGCAGGTTAAATGTTATTTGCCGGAGGAGGAGGGGGAGGAGAGAAGATCCATTTAACGAGCTGTCAGTTCGACGATAACCAAAACATGATTGAGGCTTCCGATTATCCCTCCGGAGACCTGTCCATTGCAAAGAGTGGTGCCCATGGATGAGAACCCAATGTCTCTCCACGCCCTCTGGGGAGCCCACCCTCCTGATTCTTCCAAGAGATGAACACACAGCTCAGTAACTTCTTGGGCAAACCAAGCCTGAACTACTTCTGACAACCCAAGTTCCCCATCAGAATTAAAAGTCATCCATTTGGGAAACTCTCACCCTTGGCCTCGCAGTTTCCTGCCGGCCTGTGGGATGCAGCTGCGTTAAGGGCTGCTGACGATTCAAACGGCCCCACAGAGACCCAGAGAGTCTAAAATTGGGTGAAACAGCTACCACGGCAAAGCTTAAGAGAGTGAATAGATCAATTCGGTGGTGATGACCCTCCTCCTCTGAACTTCACTTAAAGGGAATGAATGCGGGGGGGCGGGGGGGGGGGGTGAGGGAGGTGACGGCATCCTGTCAGAGGACCAGACATCTCTATGCCTCCTGAAAAGACTTCAGATGCTGTCACACGGCCAGATGAGCCTGACAGGCCCAGTGTGCGCAGACCCAGATTCTAAAATAAAGCTACCTGGCTTTGAACAACAACAATAAAAAAAACAGTATTACAGCTCTCAAACCTTGAAACTTAAGAATTTAAACTCTCAAAATGGATGTCAAGGGGCTGGAGCAATAGCACAGCGGGTAGGGCGCTTGCCTTGCACGTGGCCCACCCGGGGTTCGATTCCCAGGATCCCATATGATCCCCTGAGCACCGCTGGGAGTAAATCCTGAGTGCATGAGCCAGGAGTAACCTCTGTGCATCTCATCCAAAAAAAAAAAAAAAAAAGGACATCAAATAGCCATTGAATATTGGTTAAGCAGAAGTGAATGAGAGTTAAAGATACATAAATATCATCTTGATGTTAATTATGACAATAACCACAGCAATCAGTTTGGCAGTAACAAGGAAGTGTCCCTGCTGAGGCTGTAAAAAATGAAAAGACAGGGCATTCTATGGTTTGTATTTTTTTTAAAAAAACTTGTCATCTCTGTATATAACACAGAATGTTAAGGTTAGGGAAAATTATAGAAGTAGATACATTGCCAGGATGTCTCAGAGTTATCAAAAACTGAGATTATCACTGAGGTAGGGCTGGAGCGATAGCACAGCGGTAGGGCGTTTGCCTTGCAAGCGGCCAACATGGTCGACCCGAGATGGATTCCTCAGCCCCTCTCGGAGAGTCCAGCAATCTACTGAGAGTATCTTGCCCGCATGGCAAAGCCTGGCAAGCTCCCCGTGACGTATTCGATATGCTGAACACAGTAACAACAAAATCTCACGATAGAGATGTTACTGGGTCCGCTCGAGCAAATCGATGAACAATGGGAGGACCGTGACAGTGACCGCGATCACTGAGGTCCCTTCCTT